GATCCCTAAATAGGAGCTCTCTATATATATATATATATATATATATATAATGATTTAAAGGAAATGCAAGTTATGAGTCTAAACTACTCTTATCAATAAGCAAAAATTGGGGAAAAATAATTATTAAAAAATAAATAAAAATTCACAGTATCTATATAACGAGTCTATAGGGTCATTTACGAATACATACCTGATTTTGGGGACATTTACGAGTACATACTCAACATCGCGAAAAACCTAGAATTTGCCCCATTCGTTAGTGAGATCGTCAAAAAATCTGTCATCTGCCTAGGTGGCATTTGTGGGACCCATTTTTTAATTAACATGGCGACCTGATCTGGGTTGAAGTGAGTCAAATCTAATGGAGGTGGGGCCGAGCTGTGAGGAGGTGGGTTGGAGGTCAGGCTGGAAGGCAGGGAAAATTTGAAAAGATGAGTTTTTTTAAATTTTTTTTAATGGGTTTTTAGATTTTTAATTATTTTATTTCTTATGTGGAGTCCATGTTAATTAAAAAATGGGTCCCATAAATGCCACGTAGGCAGATGACGGATTTTCTAACGATCTCGCTAACGAAGGGAGCAAATTGTAGGTTTTCCGCGACGTTGAGTATGTACTCATAAATGTTCCCAAAATCGAGTATGCACTCGTAAATAACCCTATAGGTTGAGGAGTTTACTATAGTTTACCCAAAAAAGAATTTTAAAAAAACGACCACAATATCTATGTAAAGAGTATGGCCTATTTTTTATTTTAAAAAATCCGGGGTATAGCTATACTATTTATAAATAAAAAAACACATGACCCGCCTAGCGCGTGTTTTGGTGAAACGGGTATAGCCGCGCGGTTATACTCTATAAATATAATATTTCAATAGTATAGCCACGCGGCGATACTCTGTAAATATAATTGTTTTTAAACTACCGCAAGCGGCCATACTCTGTAAATACTAAATAGAATATTTTTTTACAGTATAGCTGCTCGGCCCTACTCTGTAAATAGATTTTTTTAAGTATAGCCGCGCGGCTATACACATTGAATAGCATTCCCTAAATTTCTCTTTTAAAATTACTTCAATTAGTAGTTATGTTTTAATTATTATTTACTTAGTGAATAATTAGTATTTAAATATTTAAATATATTTTATTTTTATTCAATAATATGCAAGCATTTTGTGAATAATACGTTAATTTTGTCTATATTATTGAAAATTTTGTAAAAAACAAGTGTATTAAACATGAAAAATATGTACATACATATACAATACGAGTATTAAATGTGAAAATGCTAAATACTTTATACAAATAATAACTTTGGAAAAGTAAAAACTCGGATAATGGCCTAATAGTAACGGACAATAGAGACTCACGATGTTTTTGAATCCAACAAAATGCACAATTTATTAATGAATCCACAATGTATTTAGTACTAATGTGTGATTTGAAATTTGTATGTCAAATACAGAGATTATGGTGGCCGTAATTTTTATTTTCGTGTGGAAACGGTGGCCGTATATTAGACATCACAAGTTTAGCATTCATATTTTATCAATTTGCACTCCTTTATCTTATTTTTTTACATTTTTCTACTTTATAATTGAGTAAACAAGAGGAGAATCAAAGCACAAAAACCAGACAAAAATACCTCTATGGTTTTCACTATTAACAGTACTTTTTTATACGATAGTAATATATATGAGGTTAAGCACACAAAAAGAGTAGAGTCTGTCTTAATCTTATGTCAGTGAACTACATTACCCAATAAGCTGTTTGTTGAAGGTGAACTCTGTTCACTGAACCAAGGATCTTGTACAGAAACAGGGGAGCTATCCTTGTCGTTGTCCTCCTCCATGGTAGCTAGAGAACTATCCACCCTTAGTGAAGCAATTGATCTTTGGCTTCGTATGCCAGCCTTCTTAGTCGTCACACCTCCCAATGACTTCTCGCTTCCGTTATATGGCGATGAACAAGTGGATGCCGCAGATGATTCCATGCATATATTTTCCTCCATTGTTGCCCACCCACTGCGCCGGATGTACTCTAGTTCTTCTGCCACTTCTATCATAGAAGGCCTCATGTCACTGTGAAAAGCAAGGCATCTGAATGCAAGCTCAGCCACCTTGTTAACTGAGTAGAGAGTCCAAGCATCCCTGTTTGGATCAAGAAAGGGATCCACTATCTCATCCACGCATCCCTTCCCAATCCTATCAGTAGCAAGTGCAGCCAAATTAACCTCACTTTGAGGTCGAGCGAAATCAACCACCTTCATCGCGGTTATTATCTCTACTAACACTACCCCAAAACTGTAAACATCACTTTTATCAGAAAGGTGGAAGTTTTGATGGTATTGAGGATCTACATAGCCCGGAGTCCCTTGTGGTGCCGTTGATATGTATGATGATTCTGTCATCCCAAGTCTAGAAAGACCAAAATCTGCTACCTTTGATTTGTAGTTGTAGTCTAGGAGTATATTGCTGGATTTGATGTCTCTATGATAGATTGGTGGATTCATCGCAGAATGGAGATAGGCTATAGCATTAGCAGTTTCGGCAGCGATCGTGAGCCTTATGGTCCATGGAAGTCCTTGGCCCCTCTCTCTTTGCAGATGTTCAGACAGAGTTCCATTAGGCATATATTCATAGACAAGGATCTGTTCACCTCCCTCTATGCAGCAACCTAAGAGGCGTACTAGATTCGGGTGGCTCACAGAGGAAAGGAGCTTGATCTCATTCATGACTTGATCAATGCTGTTGGTGTCTCGCCGGTTAATCTTTTTTATGGCAACCCACTCATCATTGTGGAGTTTTCCTGCATAAACTATACCAAAAGCCCCTGTGCCCAGCCTTTGTTTCTCAGCAAAGCAATTAGTGGCTCTTTCTATTTCTTTATAGGGATATAATGGAACACTAGAGTTGCCTGCAGCTTCACTTAGAAGGCGCCTTGCACTCATCTGGTTTCTCAAGCAAGTGGAACGGCGTCGAACAAAGTAACAGAGAAGAAATAGACCGGCCATTAAGAAAGCTCCAGCAACAAACCCTAAGAAAAAAGCAATGCCACACATGATGCTATATAAAAGGTCCCACATATAACCAAATATAATGTTTATATTCAGAAAAAAAAAAACACAGTATAACCAAAGATATGAAATTTAATTGAGTAATGTTCAATATCTCAGCTAAGGCTACTAGGACAGAGCCAAATTGTATCACCAGTATGTTTATCATTTGATCCTCTGATGTCTTTAAGAAATATCATGTCAGAATTAAGCTTATCCAGAAAAAATAAAAAGGCATGCAAAAATTTGTTATTCTACAGTTGAGCTAAACCATAACCAATTCTTTGAAGATTTTTGTTGAAAACACCCAACAAACCTGTTGATTATTCTACAAATATCAAATAAAGGGCAAAGGAAGGGGCGTGCAAGTAAACTGTACAGCCGGACATAGACAACAGAGATCGGAAGCATGAAGAAACGTGTGCTGCACAATCTTTTACTTTAATTTTTTTGATGAAATGCGCAGCACCATTGCATCAGCAACTTAAAACTACCACGTGCATTCATTTTGAAGGGCATCTACTTTAGGAATTCAAAGAAAGGAAACCACAGGACAACTAATCAACTCATATGGATTACATGTGTAAAAACCACCATGTCCATAGCTGCAACTAAAAGCAGTAAACACACATATTGATGATGACAATTTGTCACAAGACTGCAAAGAATAAGATAACTTTATAGCAGATATATCCAAGTATTTCGTCGGAAACAACAAATTGAAAAGGAAAATAAGCTAGCATAGCTGCGCATATGATAAATTTTGAAAAAATAAAAAGAGTAGAAAATTTACCTCCGATAAGCACAGCAACTCTAGTTGTTCCCCCACAACGACCAGACATGTACTTTGAAGCATTGCAATGAGAAACTAGAGACATGGCAACCAGTAAAAAAAAAAAAACTATTAGAACAGATTACACAGTTTGAAATTGCAATGCTATATACATTTCAGTTTCATAATACTAAAGATGTATGTTCTTGGTAATGATTACAGACGTATTTTAATTCATAAAGAGAACTGGAATGCAAGATCACTGAGTAAATGGTCAATGATAAATAAAAAATCTCACTTCCTCTGAGTGTTACTTTCCAACTATAACATTTTGCACAGGCCAGCAAGTATTTATTTATTTCGACAAAATTTACTCTCGAAAAGGTTTCAGGGACCAGAACACATTACAAATCCAAAGGTGTATAGGTCACTACCAAGCATCTGCACAAAGCGTGATACATCTCCATGAAGAATTGAGATGCCAATTAGATAACTTCTACTATCAAGCTTAGTTACACTGTTGCAACTCAACCGGTCAACAAACATCAGATAGCAAGCCTATTGCATGAACAGTTGCACCAAAGAAACTGATGTTGTAACTTTACAAGTCTATTTACAAATTTTCCAAGTCTTCTCTCCCCTTGTATTGATCCAAGGTCCCAATCTATCTAGTGAAGGCATGTGCTTCACCTAACATCCCTCTATAAACAAACACGGAAAACTGGCCAAAGGTCTTGACTTTTCGAGGATTCTTTGGTTGGGAAGGAGACCATTCAAAACAAAAGAATAAAAATTCTGGCATAAACATTAAACTAATAAGCATTAGAATATTGAAATTTCATTGCAACTCTGCAGGGACTATATATTTGGTACATTTAATTCTTCCTAAAATTATGCTCAAAATACTCATATCAATTCATATTCAAGTAAAGCTTCCAGCTTTTAGGCCATACCGACATTGCTATGACCAAGTCAAATCCAATGTGGCTGCCTGCAGAGTTTACCACAAAATCAAACAAACTGACTTTCTGTCTTTATATATCATCAAACTAATTAATTAATTGCAATTGGACACATTTAGAATTTAGAAGCTCTAACCAAAATTTACCATGCACCCCTCATTTTTTCCAATTTAATTGACTTTTTGGTCACAAAAAAAAAATTATCATTTATAAAATAAATAAATAATGACGTGTTAGCAAATCATTGGACAAGTCCAAAAACCCCGCTGCGCCCAACTGTGACTTTTCCACTTAACTTGCCCGTCAAAGACCACGACTAAAAAAATTTCAACACTTCAAAAATAAACAGTACCCGGTTGGCTCACTGTCTTGCAACCCGACCCGCTTTTGAACCCGTCGCCGTGAAACCCAGCGTTGCAGCTGCATCGGCACCCAGGTGGCTTCCCCTCACCGAGCTTCACCGTCGTAGACGTGGCATTCGAATGGCATTCACAACGGTTGGTGGCTTGGCTGGTGTTGAGCCACCAACCCAACTGAAGCGTCTCGAACTCGAGCGACAGCAGCGAGTCCCGACCCGACTGAACCGAAAACGATCCGAACAAGTAATTGCACCGGCTCCGATTCAAGTCCTCAATTGTCATAATATCGGAGCCGTTAGGCGCCTGTTGTGACATACAGGTGATATTATCGCAGCGCGATAAATTGAACCGCTTCTGAACAAATTCAGCTGGGATTTGGCAGCCAGGGTGTGGAGGAGATGTGCAGTTTTGGAAGAGAAGGCTGTTGTTCCAGCTTGGGCCGAAGTATTGGCCGAAGAGAGGGGCTATGGATTGGTACTTTCTGTTACATTGTGCAGGGAGGTGGACGAAGATGCTGACTCCGGTTACGTTTTGGACTGTGAATTTGCCGAGTTTGATTTCGTTTTTGTCAGAACAGTTAAATGGGATTGTGCATCCTTCTGAGAACCCAAATGGGTACTGAACCGACTTGGCTGATTTTCCCGATCCGCATGTGGTTTCGCAGAAGCTTGAGTTTTGAGCTCTGGCTATGGTGGCTATGGAGGTTGTAGTGATAAGGATGGTGATGATAGTGATCAAAGTCAGAGACTTTTGGTGGAGAACCATCTTCAATTGGGTTCCGAGGAAGCTGGGTGCTTATCAGTCATCAGACTCGTCACCTTTCTGCAAATTAAATTGTTGATTGGAGTGAAATTTGAAAAAGAAGACCAGGAGAGATTCTGGGTTTTAATAAAGATGAAAGCTTGAAAATTGAGCAATTAAATATGACAGTTGGGAAGCCATCTGTTTCAATAAATGCTTCTGAGTTCTTAATAAAGATTTTGAGTTTGTTGAGTTATAATTTATGAGAGCTTACCTCTGGTCTGGAGCTTCTTCAATGGTGGTTGGATTAATTGCTCTGGCTCTCCTGTTCAAAGTGTAATTAACTGCTTTGTTTATGGGGATTGGATACGGGCAATTGCATGAAATTAATGGGGTCTCTGGTTCTTCTTAATTCAGCAAAGTTGAATGTTGCTGCTAGCTGAGCTTCTTGTTCATCAAAGCAAAAAGCTTTCTCGTTTTCTTTTCCAAGCCTCTCTGCAACTCCTAAAACGTAAAATACATGTTGCTGCGTCAAATTGTCAATGTGTTGTTTTTTGCTGAAAAGACTTGAATAGGCAAGATGCCTTTTTTATGTTTCTGCAACTAGAAGAAACGTTTTGGTACAGAAATGACCTCGGAGGGAATTAGAAATTACAGATATTGGAATGTTGAGGTCAGCTTGCAAATTATAAAGGGTTTGACTGACACAGAGGTTGTGTGTGGACAGCGTATGAACACACCATTTTTATTTTATTAGCAAATTGGTTTCATTTGATGAAGGTGGGGAGGTGGGGTCTCACTAGTCCAGCAGCTTCATCTCCACTATATTCCTATATGCCTTTCCTTTTTAAACGCGCACACACACAAAAACAAAAATCCAGATGCTTTTGGCATGGGCATGTGTTTCTCTCTTTTGTGTAATAAGTTTTAGCCTCAAAATTGCAGCAGAGTCGGGATCACAAACTTGGTTAACGAGTTTGGTCACTAGTACTACTACTATGCAGTGGCGGATTCAAGATTTAAAAGTCGCAAAATTTACATACTAAATTGTACAATATAAGTGAATTTTATTAAGAAATATAAAAAAGATACACCTAATCAGAGAGACGTAATGAACATTATCTTCAAATGTATCTCTATACATAAATAAAAGCTTAATAATAATAATAAACAAATAAGAAGTGTTAGAAAGCATTAAACTAGATGATGATCCATAATTCTTTTTCTTATGAAAAGGAAACAAATTTTTTCTTCTTTTGGAGTTCTGATTATGATCTGACATAATAAAAGATGACCAATGAATAATATGTAGAAATGCTTTTAATCAAACATACGAACAACAAAATCAGACCAAAGATTATACGCAATGCACAATATATTTTGCCTTCAATATATTAGCATGAAGATGCAAATAACAACCACATATATTATCAACAAATAACAAAAACGACACAAGAACTGGCTTTAAGATATTTTGGAAGGAAGTATGTGGTTGGCCTTCCGTGCCACAAAGAGACTAAAAATCTAAAATAATTTTTTCAAATTTAGAAACATAAGAGTAGATAGCAAAAACTTGAAGTAGAAAGCAAACAGAGAGTAAAAAAATGGAGTATAAAACATTGGAGACAAAGAAAACATGATCGAATCTCACTCTGATAAGGATAGGGATAGCTTGGGCTTATTCTTGTGACTTGTGTGAGTGCTTAGCCTTCAATCCTGATCTTCTTCTTTATATATACCAGTCTCTGCAAGATTTCATCTAAGTATGAAAACTGTTATCAACAAATAAAAAATCCTAAAAAATTGGTGGTGACAAAAACCCAAATTCAAAGCAAGAAGAACAAATACCTCATAAATTATAGTCCTTTGAGCAGCTAGCCTCCGCCAATGATGGGCAAAAAGTCAAAACGCGTAAGAAGAAGAGAATGTGTAGCTGGCTCTGGATGGCCATCTTAGAGATGGGGTTTTTTGGGGGCTATTTTGGGTCGGGCAGCAGCCCAGCATGCCCCTGCTGCTACTATGCATCTTCCAAAGCAAAGGCATGCAGCCTCAATCAAAAGACATTGTAACTTAAGGTCATGTGTTTGTGTCTACTCTCGCTCAATATCGTTTGTGTTTATACCATATCTAACCAAGCAGATTTAGTAGCCTAAGACAACGAAGAACCCACACCTACTGAGGACCAAGTAGGAGGAGTCAACGAAGACGCTAGGGCCACGTCAGTTAAGCCTTGATGATCGACCCCATGCAAGGGGTCTGTCATATACCAATAGGGTACACATCTACCGATTGACAAATGTTGCGCCACTATCTTCAAGGCACACGCTCTCGAAATAGAGACACTTGCCTCACACATGCCGTGCTACCCAAGGGTATGCTTGTTCGAAATAAGGACATATGTT